ATAAATGCTTCTTTTCATTTTTTTATTGTTTTTATTGTTCCGAACAATGCCACACACAAAAAAAAACGGAAAATATTAAAAGTGGCGAAAATTCAATTTTTTGGTATTTTTTCCAAAAAATTCCCCAAACTATCGGAATGTTTAGATTTTCATAAAATTAACTCTACATAGTTGCATAACCATTATATGAAAGTTTCAACGAATTTTGCTGGTTAATTGCGAAAGTGTGGAGCCACCTTAAAGAAAACCAAGATGAGATTTATATCACACGTACCCACTTACATATCACATTTTAAAGTGTGAGGGAGATCCAACACTCCTTATGTAGGATAATGCATTCCATTTATTGGAAGTTACCGCAAATATGTCTGAGCCAGAGGCTTTGCAGATTAGACAGATTTGCAGTAGCTTGCATTAGAAGTCAAGTGTCACTTTGACATACTGATGTCAAAATATAAGTGATATCACAGTGTATAGTCACATAGTGTAACCACAAATTTGTACTTCAGCCAGGCCATTCTGTACTCTGGTAAGCATCCTGATGATGATGATGATGTTGATGATGATGATGATGATGATGATGATGATGATGATGATGATGATGATGAAATCACATTTGTCTCAAATGTGTCTAAAATTGATGCACTCATACTATGTTAGACATAGTCATATGTTCATTACATGGATGACCAGCTACAGTAAATATATACATGTATATGTGAATTATGAAGTAATGTATCTGTTGAAAAAGTGCTGAAATGTAATTTTCAAATGGTAAATCACTACCATGATATCTTTTTATACAGATAGCTGAAGAATTTTGTTAAAAATGTTTATAAAAAATATAACCTTGTATTAAATTTCATTCTAATTTCAGTCTCTTAATGAAAAGGGTTAAATCAAGATTGATCTATGACAGTGACAGTTTCTTTTCTTTTATCTTTTAGTTTTGCTTGCTTGTACAACTATCTTTGAAGTTGTATGATAAAAGAATGTCAGAATGGCAGATCAAGATGAAAATTGGAAAGAATTGGCTGCGCAGAAGGAAAGAGAATGGAAGGAAGTCACAAATCTGAGGTAAATACACAGAAGACTCATATTATCATTATTTCATTTAAACTGTAAAACAACATAATGACAGAAAGATTCAGTACCGATTTCAGTGATTTTTTTTGTTCAGTTATACTGCCGAATACTGTTACACATGTTATTTTCTCTAGCTAAGTAGAGCCTTATTTTCCCAAAATGACCAAAAACTGAGTACTATTCCCAATTTCAATACAAATAATGCTATATTTTCCCAATTCATAAAGGAACAGGCTGTTGTAAAATACCGCTTTATCACAACCTAGTTCGAAGGTCGTCTCAAAGCGGTTAACAAATTATTATCCTTGTTTATAGGGCCTTTGCAATCAGCCAATATCTTTCTCAACTCCCTGAGCATACAGCCGGTGCTGCTATTTCGGCACTCACAGCTAACATTCAACAATTCTAGCAATGCCCAACCACATACTCATTTACAGCTGAGTAGACTGAAACAAGCACAGTTTTACAGTGCGGTGCCGTGACACGAGCCCGGCATCCTACCTCAAGACTACCCTGCCTCACAATTTGACTGATGAAAATGGTTGCTTTGTGAATAGTTGAGTTTGATGATACTTTGTATTTCAAATGCACAGGTACATATATTTTGACTGAGAGAAAAAATATAATATGCATATGATTTTTTAAATCAGAATGCAAACCCTAGAAGCAGCTTACAAAGATAAGGACAGACAACTTCAAGAAGAAAAGGCAAAATTCACAAAACTTAAGGAAGATTTCAAATACAACCTGAAAGTGCTTGAGGAGAGAGACAAGGAACTAGAAACATATGATTTAACTTTCAGTGGTACGTTAGATTGATTATCCTCGATTTACTGTCTTATCCCTGTGTTAACTATTATAAATATATCCTAACAAAGATATCTATATAAAACAATTATTACTATACCATGATATTAGATAACTCTTGAACACGATGTTTTTGATTCATTTGTTTCTTACATATTATTCTTTTTAATTTCTTACTTCCCTGTACAATATGTTTCTCTTGTGTTAATTCAAAATTTAGTATAGGTAATCAAATGTTTCTTTCTTTTATATATTTATATATAGAAACAGTGTTTCAGACTTTTAGAATAGTTGCTTGCAATTGTTTAAAATTAACAAATTAGTTAAACTGTATGCACTAACAAGTCAGTTCTGTAAATAACGGAGGCAGAAATACAGACATTTTTTCCTAATGGACTGTAATACTTTCCGATGTATGTGTGGATATCATTATTGAATGTCCTAAATCTTATATCCATGCTCAGAGCTAAAGTCCAGTCTGAATGTAAAGAATGGAGAGATTAGTGAGATGAAGATCAAGTTAGACGACATGAAAACATGGAGTGACAGAGAGAACCAAGCACGGGAAGAACTCCAGCTTCATTATCAACAGAGGTTGAAAGAGAAACAGGCAGAAATTGATTCCTACAGATGGTATGTACAGGATACTGTAAAGTCTGATAGTTTGCCCTGCTGATTTTTACTTTGTGAGGTTCTCCAAATAGATTTACCTTTTGCTGATTTTTCCTCCCTGTTTGATATTCTATACTGTAAATATGTGGAAGATTATCAAAATGTGCCAATGGTGAAAAAGTGTGAAATAGGAGTAATCTTTTTTCTTATTTACACTCTTTATCACCAGCAAATGTCAGAGATAAATACAAGTGGATAACACAGGTGAAAAATATGAAATTGATATCTTCATCCCACTTATTGAAATGTAACTGGTTTTCATCATGAAATAAGGAATATTCTAGTTATAACATTTGGAAAAGACAAACATGTTGCTAGTCATGCATCCTATGACATCCATTTGATGAACTTACTGAGAAAAAGTGTTATTTTTCACACTGGACATTTTTTTTTACCATGATTAAATGTAATAAAGACTTTTATATGGATCATAATATGAAAGCATTGCAGTTATTAGCCTTTTTGGGTGTTTGGCTTTCAGAAAGGGTCCATACAAAGTATGCATGTAACTTTTTCAGTTCCAAAGATTCTGAGCTGCAACAGGAAAGGAAAGAATTTGAAAACTTCAAGAGAACTCTTCAAAGGAAATTGACAGAAGTTGAGGAAGAACTGGATACACAACGCAGAGAATTGAGTGCAGGTACAGCATCATTCTGTCATGAAATATTAACACTGTGGAATACAAGTACATTTCTTAATAAATTGTAAATGGTGAATGAAGATTATATTCATTTATTATAATGTAACTGTAAATCTTGCTCAATCTGAGACCACAGATAAACTGAACTGTAAAATTGACATATTTTTCAATCTTTGATCATTTGCTTTCAGAATTTGACGATGCCTTGAAGAGGAGAGAACATGAGTTTCGTCTACAAACAGATGAAATGAGCACAAAAGTTCTAGAGTATGAACTGAAGGTATACAACCATATACAAATAAGTTTACTCTAGTAAAGTTGATAGTACCATAATATTCCATTAGCCAGCTGGTAGTTAAGGTATAAGTTGTTTGTCTGTCTATTCAATCGGCTGTCTGTGTTATTTAATTTCATGCTGTTGATATACAACAAATCAAACATGAAATTGAGATAGGGGACAACAGCATTGAAGGTGGCAACTATTTTGACAATTTGTCTTTAACAAGATATTTAATGTTGCAAACAAACTTGATTTCATCAAAAACTGGGTCAGCAAATGAAAACATATGATATATTACTAGGATAAGTTGATAAGTAACTGTTTAAGGAGATGGGGGCGTGTTTAGTTTACTATGTTAAGTTGATGTGTAAGGAGATGAGAACATGCTTATTTAAATAGGTTATGTTGCTTTGTAAGGAGAGGAGAACGATAATTAAATTACTAGGATATGTTATTATGAGGAAAAGAGAATATGATTTGTATTTCTAGGCTTAATTATTTTAAGGAGGTGAGAACATTGTATTACAAGGGTAAGTTACTGTAAAGAGATGAGAACATTGTATTACAAGGGTAAGTTACTGTATTTATATTACCAGGCTAAGCTACTGGGTAANTGAGAACATGGTTATTTAAATAGGTTATGTTGCTTTGTAATTAGGAGAGGAGAACATGCTTATTTAAATAGGTTATGTTGCTTTGTAAGGAGAGGAGAACATGCTTATTTAGATAGGTTATTTTGCTTTGTAAGGAGAGGAGAACATGCTTATTTAAATAGGTTATGTTGCTTTGTAAGGAGATGAGAACTGTATTTATATTACCAGGCTAAGCTACTGGATAAGGAGATGAGAATTGTATTTATATTACCAGGCTAAGCTACTGGGTACGGAGATGAGAACTGTATTTATATTACCAGGCTAAGCTACTGGGTAAGGAGATGAGAACTGTATTTATATCACCAGGCTAAGCTGCTGGGTAAAAGGAGAGGAGGATTGTATTTATATTACCAGGCTAAGCTACTGGGTAAGGAGATGAGAACTGTATTTATATTACCAGGCTAAGCTGCTGGGTAAAAGGAGTGGGGACTGTATTTATATTACCAGGCTAAGCTGCTGGGTAAAAGGAGAGGAGAATTGTATTTATATTACCAGGCTAAGCTACTGGGTAAGGAGATGAGAACTGTATTTATATCACCAGGCTAAGCTGCTGGGTAAGGAGATGAGAACTGTATTTATATTACCAGGTTAAGCTACTGGGTGAGGAGATGAGAACTGTATTTATATTACCAGGCTAGGCTACTGGGGGAGGAGATGAGAACTGTATTTATATTACCAGGCTAGGCTACTGGGTGAGGAGATGAGAACTGGATTTATATTACCAGGCTAGGCTACTGGGTGAGGAGATGAGAACTGTATTTATATTCCCAGGCTAAGCTGCTGGGTAAAAGGAGATGAAAACTGTATTTATATTACCAGGCTCGGCTACTGGGTGAGGAGATGAGAACTGTATTTATATTACCAGGCTAAGCTGCTGGGTAAGGAGATGGAGATGATGAAGGATGCACAGGACAGGAATACCCAGGATTACAGTGAGGTGGAGAGGAACCACAGACAGCTGGAGAAAGCTCTCAAGGAGAAGGATTGGGAACTTGCCGATCTATCCGCCATGAAAGATGCAAGGTACAACTAGTATGAGGGGAGATAACTCTTAAAGAATGAACAGAGTATGGGCCGACTTTAGGCATATTTGCATCATACAAGGAAATGCGAATGCCTTGATTTGTTGGGAAAAAAATCACAGATTGTGTATGAGAAATTTCTACCAGAGGATTTATTTCTCAAATAAATAAGTCATTTAGTTGTTATATGATTTCAAGAACCTGTTTAATTATGTTTTTGTTGTGTACCAGAAGCATTTTCAGATTATATTCCGACTTTCTATGCTTTTTTCAAAATATCCCTGATTTTCAATGTTTATTAACTGCTGTGCTGATCAACTTTGTTATAAAAAAAGCTACCAAAAAAGTTACTGGTGCGGCGTCTGTCGTCATTATTTTACTTTAAACAACTTCTTGCCCAGGGTAATGACATTTTGCCAGTAGCATGCTGGGATGAAGGGCTACCAAGTTTGTTCAAATGAATGACCTTCACTCATATTCAAGGTCACAGGGGTCAATTGTCTAAAATACCTTTAAACAACTTCTTCTGAATAATCAAAATGCCCAGGATGTTGATATTTGGTCAGTAGTAGACTAGGATGAAGGGCTACCAAGTTTGTTTAAAATAAATGACCTTGACTTATATTTAAGGTCACAGGGGTCAAATATGTTTGAAACTTTTAAACAGCTTCCTCTAAATAACCAAAAGGCGCAGGATGATGATATTTGGCCCATAACATGATGGGATGAAGGGCTACCAAGTTTGTTCAAATGAATGACTTTGCCATTTGTTCAAAATCTTTAAACGATTTCTTTGTAAATAACCATGAGACCCAGAATTTTGATATCTATCAAGTTTTTAGCATGCTTGGATGAAGGGCTATCAAGCTTTTTCATTTGAATAACCTTGACCCACTTTCAAGGTCACATGAGGTCAAATATGTATAAACAATTTAAATGACCTAACCCCAATAAACAAAATGATAGGGTTGCGATATATTGCAAGTTACATCCTGAGATGAAGGGCTATACATTTTGTTCAACGTAATGACCTTATTTGACTTTTCAATGGTCACAGGTGTGAAATGTTCTTATGAATGACTTGTAGTCATAAATACTGATATTTTGCCTGTAGCTTTATTTTAGATCACTTATAAGGTTACAAGCGTGAGATTAATACCAGGTGAGCAATGCAGACCCGTTGGGCCTCTTGTTTTGACCATAAATCGAGGTTAAATACAGACCAAATATAGTGTGTCTGCAATGTTATGATAGCTGTAATTTAGCTGCTAGGCGAATCAAATCAATCCTGGTATACATGTATTTGTTTTACCCAAATTGGTACTTTGGAGTGAGGATATATTATCACTGGCAGACAGAGCTGGTTTTCCTGACAGTTACAGGTACTGGTCACTATTCATTTTCTGTTTTCTGTTTTCTATTCACAAGTAACTTGTTTGAAATTCATTTTGTAGGGTGGGCTCAGGAAACATATACATTTACTCTACTGTGTGCATATATATAACAACCCACAGAAAAAGTGTATTTTGACCATAGGCCAGTACCTGTGCTTGTCGTCATAACAACACTCATCTAATGTGAGTGTTGAGGGAGATAACTCAGGAAAGACAGAGAGCCAGTTGTCATTACATCATAGAGGTACATTTGCTGTAAGGGGAAATGTTTTGGAGATTGGATGCTTACCAGCCTCGAGCTCACTGCTATAAATAGTGCTGTGAGGGAAAGGAAGTGCTTGACATAACTTTTGAATTTGTTTTTAGATGTCTCCAAATAAAGTTGGACAAAATTTATTGTTTTTCTAATTGTTTCAGGATATCTGACCTTGAGAAACAGTTAGAGCAGTCAGAGGTTTCCATGAATAGAATGAAAGAAGACTTCCAGAGAAAGTAAGCCATGAATCTGTCCTTTATAAAAACCATCTTTAAATGTAGTACCTGTACAGTCAAATCTGCTTAAGTGACCCCCATAATTAAGCAACTCCGGGATCCCCCTCAGACATATTTGCATACTGGTATATTGTAAAGATATAAGGGGCGATAACCATATACATTTTGTGGTTCAAAGGTCGAGGCAACTTTGGCTCAGTACTTTAAAAAGCATTCCTGGCAACAGATTCTGCAATTTTAAAAAGATTCTCACATGTGACTGAGGACCAAAACTTGGGATTTTGTTTGTTTCCCAGACACTGAAATGTTATGGAGGGTTATTTGAATGGGACACAATGAGGTATTATGCAGAGTTCTATGTTACCCAAATGCAGTGAAGTATTATGTAGGGTTATTTGTTACCCTAATGCAGTGATGTATTATATAGGGTTATTTGCTACCCATGGCAGACACTATGAGGAATTATGTAGGTTTATATGTTACCCAGACACAATGATGTATTATGTAGGGTTACATGTTACCCAGACACAGCAAGATGTTTTGTAGGGTTGTTTGTTACCAGGACACAGGGAGATGTTTTGTAGGGTTGTTTGTTACCAGGACACAGGGAGATGATATGTAGGTTCCTATGTTACCCAGACACAATTGAGATGTTATGTTGTGTTCTATGTTACCCATACACAGCAAGATGTTTTGTAGGGTTGTTTGTAACCCAGACACAATTGAGACGTTATGTTGTGTTTTATGTTACCTAGACACAGTGAGATGGACAGATATGGACGTGAGAAAGAAGCTGCCCTGGCCAAGGTAAAAGAAGGGTATGCAGACAGGGAGCAATCGTTATCCACTAAGATCAAGGAGCTACAGTCTTCCATTGAGGACAACCAAGTGGAGATCCGCAAACTTCAGTGGGCGAGACAAGACCTGGAGAAGGAGAAGGATCTACAAACACAAAAGTAGTTTGTCTGGTATTTTTACCTGATACAGCATAAGTTTCCCTTGTCTTTCTTCTTCGATAATTGTAGTGAAACTGTACATTTGCTTATGGTTCTTATATAACTTACACTCATGTCCTCCTGTCCACATCTACCCTAATACTCAATTTAAAATTAATTAAATCGCTAATTTATTTCATTGTGTTTATGTATACTGTGAAATGTGTGCTTATTACACCGAAAGATTCATGCTCTTCAGTTTCTGTCTCCTTGTATTGATTTGCCTGACACCAACGGTTTAATACCAACTTTATTATGATCACTGGCCCTGTATGACTGTTTTGTGTTTGTAAAACCTGCTTTGAACCATTAAGAAGAAAATCATGAAAGTTGAAGCTGGTCCTGTATAAACACGTTGTAATTATGAAGGTGTTGTTTTATCATTGTCTGATCTTGCAGGTTACAGGACGAGCTGTGTGAGGTGAAGGAGAAGTGGGACAAGCATGTTACAAATATGTCTCGCAGTCAGGTTAATAAGGACCTAGAGCTGGAGGCACTCCGGGAGAATGAGGCCAAGTTGAAAACTGACCTTCAGCAGAGGAAGGAAGACATTGAGAGGCATGTTGACTTTAACAAATACAAGGAATCTAACCAAGAAAAATATATATAAATGATCAGTTTTGAAAGAAACCATTACTATAAAAGTGGAAATGTTTACATTGTGGCTCTTTAAACCGATTGCTACGGTTATAAATTTTGTCATGTCCTGGGTTATAAATTTCATCCCTGTCAAAAACTAGCTTAGATTTTTTTCATCATATGAAAATTGTACGAACATATAGTTCATTAAGTTGTTTCAACAGCATATAAATTAACTTTCATTTGAAACTTCGCTGTTGTTAGGTACAAGAAGGAGTTAAGTCTGGCTGTGGAGCGGGAGAACAGTCTTGAGAGAAGTAAGGCTCAGCTGGAGCTCGACTGGCAGAGACGCTTTGAGGATCTAGAAAGGCAGCAGTACGAAAAGTCTGAGGACTTCGTAAAGAAACTGACACGAGGCAGGGATGAGGTAAGTGCTGAAATATTGTGAGGATGTAGATATTGTCTACAGACTGATTAATTGTTTGTGTCTTTTAAATACCACATTCCTACCATTATTAATGGGATCATTTTAAAGACATGTGACTATATTCTTAGTATACAAGGGGAATATGTAAAATTTCTGTGGTAATATTGTTAATGAAAAAAACAAGTGTATTGATATAAGAATAAAGTGCATAGACAAGATATTGATGTAAATGTTGGAATTGTTTTTCATATTTAATAGGTAACATTTTTACGTTGATTAACAGTAACTTGTATCAGTATAATGAGGTATGTGTGGCCTCTTTCTGTTTCACTGACTGGGAACAGAAATTTACTTCAACAAGTCTTACAGCATTCCTAGCTATGTGACTGCTTTATTAAATTTTGGTAGAGTAAATATTCCGTCTTTGCGGATTGCAGAGTTATCTTCTCTTGTGAGCAGGTATTGATTGTTACGTCATTGGTTTGTGTGAGAAAATTACATCGTTTTCTCAAAAGTTGATGACGTTTCTCTCACAAACAAATGACGTAACAAACAATACCTGCTCACAAGAGCAGATAACTCTGCAATACACAAAGACGGAATACTGGCAATGGAATGTGAAATATAAATAGGTGTTGGATTTAAATAGTTGTTCCATAATAACAATATTAACAAATCAGCTCATGTTTTAGGCATTGGCAACAGTGAAGGAGAAGGAGCGGGAACTTCAGCACCGTGAGACATTGATCAGGACACTTTACCATGACAGGGAACAGGCCCTAGCCACACTCAGGAAGCATGGCATTGCTGTTGAGAAAAACAACAAGGTGAGTCCTGGACATTGCTTTCTCTCAGCCTTGTAATAATCACTACTCTCTGGTAGGATTGAACTTTCTTGCACCTTAAACAGGGATATTTATATTTCTCTTTGAAAACATACAATTCAAAATATAAAAAAACAAACTGTTCAAGTTGTTTGATTGGAGCTCTATATGAATCTTACTTTTACATTGTCAACTTTTCCTAAGATTGATATGGAGAAAGTATGGTTAACAGCCAATTCAGAGGATGTTGAAAGCCTCCAGAAACAGAACAACAGTCTCAAGTCAGTTATCAAAGAGATGAGGATGCAGATGGAAAACCTAGGACAGGATCTTCCTGCCCCACATAGAGACCTGGAGTCTGCAGGACATCCGGAAATCAAAGATCAGGGTTTGTATTTATGGCTTATTCTTTATTAAACCAAAACACCTGAAAATTGATGGATGTTATATATCAATCTAATAATCTTGAGTAATACCTGGTATAAATGTCAATCTAATAATCTTGAGTTATACCTGGTATATATGTCAATCTAATAATCTTGAGTTATACCTGGTATATATATATCAATCTAATAATCTTGAGTTATACCTGGTATATATGTCAATCTAATAATCTTGAGTTATACCTGGTATATAAATGTCAATCTAAGTAGTGGCTTCCACCAATGTTCCTGTTTCTTTGTGTAGATCACGAAGTCTTGGGGTCTTAAATCACACATAAATCTGACTGTACTTGTTATTAGCATCACAGTGCACTATTGATGGTCACACATCTGGTCAGTTGTAAGCTCTGTGAGGTGTAGCTTTCCCTTTAACCATGAGAGCACTGGACTAAGTAATCTCATGGTTCCAGGTCAAATCGTAGCAGTCGAATATGTAAGGAAGGATCTCTTTTACACTAGACATGAAAATATCTGTTTCAGATTATGTTGAAAATCTTCAAAAGGAAGTTCGTTCTTTGAGAAAGAAAATAAGAGATCTCGAAAGTCTTGTGGAAGAAGGAAAGCGATATGGAAAGATACCTGTGTCAACCTCTTCTGCCTCTGAACAGGAAGTGATGGCAGAAGTAAAAGACAACCCCACACTCCGACACCACATAAGTTCACTGAATGAAAACATTGGTAAATTCAGCTATACATAAATATAAATGGGTTTTTTATCATATGGAACATTAAGGAAAAATACTGCAAAACTGCTTAAAGGGGCTGGTCGGGGAAAAAATGTCATACTTGCTAAAATGGCTAACACATGTTTAAAATACCTTCTTATGAAATATACCGATACAAATTTTGCTGAAATTCACTGCCTAAGAGTAAAAATTATAATTATATTAAAGAAATCCTAAATCGTCACCTGACAGTCTAAAACTCTCAGTTGACCCAGATCAGTGATGTAATTTTACCGCACGCGCGTCATCAACAAGGCCAAATGTAAACATCGTGACGAAAGAAAAAGATGCATGCAAAAGTCATGACAGGCACGAGGTATCAATACCGTTATATATAACAACAACATATAGGTAGGAATACTACACTTGCAGCATACATGACCTTTGAAAACAATTATTTACGTATAGTATTGCTGTCTTGTCCACTAGTTAAGTCTGACATGGCACATGACAGCGTGCTGTTGTTGTTATCTTCACTGCCTCACTTTCGAAACAACCACGTGACATATATAAATAGATCTGCGCTAAATTTACGCGGGGCTTCCCCGAGATTTCAGTGGTCAAAACTGGACATTGCAAGCAGAATTTGACCATCATATTGCCGTGGTATAACTTTTGGAAGGCCAGAGAACGCATTTAGACCCATTTATTTTGTATTTTTTTCCCCAACCAGCCCCTTTAATTTGCCAGAATACTCAAGTATACTTCTAATTATAACTGAACACTTCTAATATAAAACATTTCATATAATACTATTGTTCCACTGACTTAAGTGTAACAGCATAGACGCAAAAAATGGAATGAAACAAAATACAGCTGTACAGCATTCAGTGTTATTTGTTACAACAATAAATTGAGATAAATTTAATGTTGTGTTTATATAATAAGGAAAAACGTGCTTCAATGGACTGTTCACATACAAAACACACCTAATTATATATGATTTTAGCCACATTATCAAGTGTATCAACACATGGGTGAAACCATTCCGAACCAATCACTGTTATGTATATATTGGTATTATAGTAAAACAGATAACTACATGTTTTCAGCAACTATGTAAGTTCATTGTGAGCTAATCTTTAATTTTTTCCTACCTCCATTCTGTGTGTCTGTAAGTAAACTTAATATTTAGTTTTCTCAAAGGCAAAAAACACAGCATATAGGATGTGTGGTTCATTTTTGAATCTATTTGGAGGATAATTGTTAGATTACCCCTAGTCTCGTACCCCACCCTATTATACTCCTACCTGGAAGATAATTGTTAGATTACAGTAGGTTATGTGTTCTTATCATGTCAATATTTGTCGATAATGTGTGACCCATTAGATGAGTGTCAAAATGCCATTCATACATTTACTTGCAGGTGCATTTAGGTCGGAAAAAGTCGAGCTGTCTGCTCAAGTGAAGAAACAGCAGGCCAGGATACAACACCTGGAGAAGACTGTAGAGCAGCTATCTAAAGAGGTCAGTTTCCCATGTTAAACCTTCCGAGCTCATGTTATGAGAATTGAAATCAAAGCCAAAGAAAAGTATCAGCTCACCTGGCACAAAGTGCCTCTGAGTTGATGGCACAATGTCTGTCTCTCCATTATCAACATTTTACTTTAAATGAATTATTATGAATAACATATAGAGACAAATGGTAATGCTATTTGGCCGTAGATTAATCAAAAGCCAAATCATGATAATTTTTCATGAGACTAGTAGCAATTTAGGCAATTCCTTGATAACCCTGTTATACCAGGGACATATTCCTTTACCTGATCTTGTCACTATCACCCCCTTATATAACAGGTACTTATTTCCAAGTACCTAAATTTGTCTATATTCCCACAGCCCCGCCAGAAGCAGGTAGAAGTGGACCAGCTGAGGTATGATCTTAGTGCTAGAGAGAGGCGTAGCCAGGCAGAGATTGCAAGCATGAGACAAAGAGTGTCAGACCTGGAGATGCAGCTCGCTGAATCCAGAAAGGAGAGTGATGAGTATTACCGTAGCAACTTGGAGAGGAACATGGAGGTAACAGGACTGCGTCAAGAGGTTAGTGACACAGGGCAGATAAGCCTGAAGTAGACACAAGACAAAACAAAAAACTTGCTTTACATACCTAGTAAAAATGTATATTTTCTTGAATATTAGGCACTGGTCTTTTATTGCTTTCAAATATACTTATAAGAAACTTGGTACAGTTTATATCTATATCTGAGATAAAAGAAATCACTTGTATTAGAGTTAATTTGGAAACATATTCAGATTTCAGCCCTGAAACTGGACATGGCTGACAAGAGACCAACTGTAAATTTTGGAGCACAGGTACATTAGTATGTCAGGAAGTACATTGTGTATTGCAGCAGAAAAAAACGAAAGTGTATGAAATCAATATTGAATTTTTAGGTCACCTGAGACAAAGTCTCAAGTGACCTATTGCGATCGCCTTTTGTCCGTCGTGCGTCTGTAAACAATTTTCAAAAATCATTTTCGACTTCTTCTCCAAAACCCCTGAACCAATTTCAATGAAATTTTGCAGAAACTTTCCATGGCCAAAGGTCAACAAAAGTAGTGGCCAGTTTGGTCCCCAGCCCCTAGGGGCCTGAGGGGCGGGGCCAAAAAGGGTCAAATTGACTAAAATTTCAAAAATCTTCTTCTCAAGACCCAGATATGGTAGAATCGAATACTCTTCATAGATGGAAAGGTCTTAAGGTGATTTACCAAAATTGTGAATTTCTTGACCCTTAACTATAGTTTATATAGGGAAATCTCATTTTGGACTAACATTTGTTTAATTTCCATTGGAAGTAATTCAATTTAGGTTAGCATTATCAGTATTAGGTAGCAGTTTGATAGTATGCATATATGAGCCCTGACTGACCCCCCGGGGCTGATGGGTGGGGCCAAAAAGGGTTGAATTGACTGAAATTTCAAATATCTTCTTCTCAAGACCCAGATATGG